CGTGGAAGGGGTCTTCTTGCCAAGGAAGCAGTTCCAGTTCCTGGCCTCTCTCCCCAGCGCAGGGCTAATTATGTTTGTGCTGCAGGCATTGTTCAGTCCCAGCTGTCTGGCACCACCTCCTTCTCTCCAGCCTGCAGTTTCCTGTGGCCCCAGACACTTAGCTGCCACAGCTGTGCCCACAATCGTCCTCCCACAGTGTTCCCAGAAGTGGTGTGAACGGGCACCTGAGTGTCCCCGCCAGGGTTGTGGCGGCTCCTCGGGCAGCGGGGGGCAGAGATGCACGCGGGTGCTTCCCTGGAGCTGCTCAGCTCGGAGAAACCTCTGATCTTCGGGGAGGTGGCGAGTCTTCCCCGGGTCTGATGGATGGCTGTCTTCCAGACTCTGACACCGATGCGGCCACCATCCAGGAGGTCAGCGAGGCCGTGCTGGCCCTGTGGCTGCCCACAGACTCGGCCACGGTGCTGCGGAAGATGAATGAGGTCCAGGCCATTGCCGCCAGGCTACCCAACGTGGACCTGGTGCTGTCTCAGACCAAGCAGGACATTGCTCGGGCTCAGAGGCTCCAGGTGGAGGCTGAGAAGGCCAGGTATGGCCCAGGGCCCTGAGCCCACGCTTCTCGCTGCCCAGGGTTGGGCTGGTGTTTTGCTCCCTGACTCCTTTGGTTGCTGGCAGAAGAAAAAGAATCTGTACATGTCAGAGCGGTGCAGAGGGCTGGGGGACAGAAGGGGTGCTTACTGTAGTGGGGGGTGGTAAAGTGAGAAACAGTGTCCAGGGTGAACTTTCCTCGGCATGACCGTGTCTTCCATATTGGTGACACCAAAGGGTGTCTCAGACGTAACGCTCACACTCCTCATGTGACGTAAGGCTCAGACTCCTCATGTCTGCTCTGTGGGGTCCCGGGATGGAAAAGCTGCTGTGTTAATACTCCCTTTTTAGTCTTGGCTGGGAAGAATCTTCTCTTGAACCGGTTGGTGAGTGGAGCCATGCATCTCTTCATTCACTGGTCGCTCATTCTTTCTTTCTTTCTTTTTTTTTTTTTTTTTAAAGATTTTATTTATTTATTTGACACAGAGAGAGAGGGAACACAAGCGGGGGAGTGGGAGAGGGAGAAGCAGACTTCCCGCCTAGCAGGAAGCCCGATGCGGGACTCGATCCCAGGACCCTGGGATCATGACCCGTTGCTCATTCTTTCTTATCTCCCTTCCCCTCCCCCTGCTGCAGGAGCCGAGCCCACGCGGTGGAGGGCCAGGTGGAGGACGTGGTGGGGAACCTTCGGCAGGGCACGGTGGCTCTGCAGGAAGCTCAGGACACCATGCAAGGCACCAGCCGTTCCCTTCGGCTTCTCCAGGAGAGGGTTGCTGAGGTGAGGTGGTGTGACTTCCTTCCGCCGCATTTGGGAATGAACAGACAGATTCAGGCACAAGATATAGAAAATGCCTGAAGGTGACCTGGAAGGGGACCTAAAGAGGGGGACTATGAGCTCTGGGCCCAGCTTTGAGCCCTTGGTTTTCTGGTTGCATGGCTGGGTGCAGAAGGCCAGGGGTGGGCTCTGAGCCGCAGCGAGGGGGTGGGGGGCTTGGGGGGTAGGTCAACTGAGCTGGAGAGAGAGGGGGCCTGGCTGCCAGGGGACAGATAGATAGGGGATCAGCAGGGGGACAATAGTGGTATCCTGCTTGGAGAGAGTTTTCGATGCCTGATGAGCTCGGCAGAAGGACAGCGAGGTCCCTGCTTAGGAGACCCACCACAACCCAGGTCTCTTTCCCCACCAAGGTTCAGCAGGTCCTGGGGCCGGCGGAAGGACTGGTGGCCGGCATGAGCTTGCAGCTGGGTGACTTGCGGGCACGGATGGAGGAGCTCAGCCGCAGGGCCAGGCTGCAGCAGGAGCAAGTGGCGAGGGCCCAGCAGCTCACAGAGGGTGCTAAGCAGCGGGCGCTGAGCGCCCAGGAGGTGAGAACAGGTGGAGGTCATCCTGGGCAGCACCGGCCAGCGTGAGGGTCCTGAGCAGGAGAGCACTCTGTATACTTTATGAGACCCTGGGCTCAAAAGCAATTAGAACATGTTATTCTAGAATCATCAGAAAGGGCTTCAGGACTCACCCTGACCTGGCCTGGCATCTGGACTCTACCTCGGGCCGCCTCTGGGGAGCTGGTTCAGGGGTGTTACAGACGATCTAGTCTAGCCCCTTTCTGTTTACAGATGGAGCGGTAACTTTGTCCAGGCCCAGAGCTCACCTACAAAGCAGGTCCCTTGACATCCAATCCAGAACTTGTCCTCCATCATGGCTACCCAGCCCAGAGAGGCAGTCTTCACTTAGCCTAACCTGGGCCAGAATTGTGTCAGAGAGGCGATCAGAGAGCCATCCTCTGGGTCCCCAGCGTACCAGGAACTTTGGCATTCGTGGCCGGTCCCAGTACAGTGGCCAGGCTGCCAAGCGTACTGCTGAGTGACCGCTAAGTGCCTGGCACTGTGTGTGGAGAGTTAGGTGGGAAAGGACGGGAGCCACAGATGGAGGGAGGGAAATACAGAAGAAGTGTCAGATACAGTTTGGGGCCTAGCAGTTTTCATAGGCCGGAGCAACCCACTGGGGAGTATCAGGAGGCTCCTCATCCCTGTGTGTAGATTTGCATGATATTGAGTGCTTTAGCCAAAGGTCTTTAGGACTTTGGGTGATGATGATGCTGGTGGCACTCAGACTGTTTCACCTTTTTCAGGGATTTGAGAGAATAAAGCAAAAATATGCTGAGTTGAAGGACCAGTTGGGTCGGAGCCCCATGCTGGGGGCTCAGGGCAGCCGGATCCTGAGTGTCAAGACGGAGGCAGAGGAGCTGTTTGGAGAGACCATGGAGATGATGGACAGGATGAAAGGTGAGGGGGCGGAGCTGGGGCTTGGACTCCTGGGCACCCCAGGAGGCTTCGACCGCACCTCCCCCACACTGAGTCACGGGTTCGGCACGTGGGAGGCGATAAATGATAGGGAGAAGGAGAAGCAGAGAAGGAGAGTAAGGGGTGTTGGCACAGGGGGAAAGGTGCGATTCTAGATCGCGTGGCCACGGTTGGCCTCTCTGGAAAGGTGACATTGGAGCAAAGACCTGATGATCTCTCTCTGCCTTTGCGGAAACGAGCACGCTGGCCTGGGGAGGGGCGCGTGGAAGGGGTCTTCTTGCCAAGGAAGCAGTTCCAGTTCCTGGCCT